TTTTTTTTTTTTGTTCCAAGGTTGTAAGGAATTATATAGTCACTGGAAATAAGGTCAGGATGCTCAATCCCCTCCTTTTTTTAATGGGAATCAATTGCTTAGTAAAACTGTTAAGCACATCAAAAGCTTACATAATTATTCAAGGGTTTTATTTTTCTCAAAAATTGAAAATTCTAATAATTTGATGCTAAATTATGCTATTATCATTTTAGGTTGCAGCACATACATGGTGGTTTGGCAGTTCGCATTGGGAAAGCTTTCTTGTCTGATCCTGGTTTAAATACTCTTTTAATAGTTTAATTTTTGTGGTCAGACTACCAGAAAATACTATGGTACTAGGCTAAAAGGGAAGTCAAAACCTCCCCAGAAGAAGGCAATCTCAAATCATTTCTATATTATGGACAAGAAAACTGCATGAATCTGTTCATGGAAATCAGTAGTGTTGAGCATGGTTTCAAGGATAAGTTACTTCTCATCAGGCAAATTGCTGTTATTAGACATGGGGCCTTTCAAGTAATTTGGTAGGATTTTGTTTCGGTTTTGTTGAATACAACTTGCTTGTAAGCTGGGCAGCCATATAAATTAGATGATTGACTGACTGACTGAGACAGACAGACAATATAAAATAGGTTCTGTGATACTACAAAAGTATTTAACCAATGTTTAGGTTTTAATAACATATTTATTTAGTATTGTTATTAGCTAGTTGAGTACATGTTTGAAGTGGAAATAAGATACAAACTTAACAAAAATTAAAACTGCCTAGGACCGTGAGGGTGAACCTGTGGCATGCATGCCGGAAGTGGCATGCAGAGCCATCTCTCCAGGCACGCCAGCCATCACCCGTTGCTCTTCTGGGTTCTGGCATGCACGCACCGGGAAGCTGAGTTTCTGGTTTGTGGCGTGCGCATGCGCACCCACCAGCTGGTCTTCACGCGTGCATGTGTGCCAAACCCTGGAACACCAGGTGACCAGCGCACATGCACACTGTGCCGAAAAGGTTCACCAACACTGGCCTAGAACTTGAATGTCTTCATGTTAAACTGAGTAAATGCTCACTAATTTTTTATTTTTTTTGTAATCTATAGTTTGGCTTTCATTAAGCGGGCACCAGTAATTGATGCAGACAAGCCTGTGTCATCCCAGCTCAGAGTTCTCACTCTCAGCGAAGATTCTCCCTATGAAACTTTGCATTCCTTCATTAGCAATGCTGTTGCTCCGTTCTTCAAGTCCTACATCAGAGAATCTGGCAAGGCAGACAGGTAACTACTCTAGTTGGTACAATTTGTATTTCTGATATGGACGAGTGAATTAGAAAAGAAGAAGAAATATGGGAAGATAGATGGAAAATTATTGATAGTCAAGATCTTAACTGTTAGAAGACATTTAAAGAGGGTGTTTTTTTAAAAAAAAAAAGATTGAAGCTTCTTTCAAGCTGTATTTGATGCTGCTCCCATGGCTCCTTATAGGAAAGAGGCAACTTTCTGAAATGTGTCATTCCCTGTGAAAACATAGTAACAGCAGTTAATTGTGTGGCACATCTCATTCTTTTATCAAGTTTATTTTATATTGTAGTGATATCTTAATATCTTGTTTGTGTTGGTGGGCAACATATTCTGGATTGCATGCATATGTATTGTAAATGTCTTAATTACATATGTAGATTTTTATTTAGCCTGTTTTTGTATTTCTCCTAAGGGATGGGGATAAAATGGCTCCCTCAGTTGAGAAAAAAATTGCAGAACTTGAAATGGGACTTCTGCATTTGCAGCAGAATATTGAAATACCAGAGATTAGTTTACCAATTCATCCAATTATCACTAATGTTGCCAAGCAATGCTATGAACGTGGAGAAAAGCCAAAGGTTACAGATTTTGGTGATAAAGTTGAGGACCCAAGTTTTCTCAACCAGCTACAATCTGGAGTTAATCGCTGGATTAGAGAAATCCAAAAGGTAAATTGGAAAATGTATTATTATTTTTATATATGTATAAAAGTATGAAATCACAGTTGCCATTTCTTTAGCTGTGTTGGTCTTCATATTCATCAACTTTTCCCAAGAATCTAGGATAGCATAATATATTAGTGTAGTTTACACACAAATCCAAGCAGTGTGGCCTTTTATAACTGACAGAAAGTTTGTCAATGTGTATAATTTCTAAATGCTATTTAATATATTTTAATACGGCACCTATTGTTCCAATAGACAGTGGGATCACCATGGCCAATTTATGCTATAATATTTCATTTTCAGACCTTGATATATTGTGATCTTATCCTATTCTTTGTCTTCTATTCTACTAAATTCTGCTATTGCCACATTAACTCTCCACACTTTCTAGTTTTCAGCCACAGTTAAATCTAGTGTGTTACCGGCCAAGATTTTATCAGTTTTTATTAATATATCCCACAATATTTTAACCTGCTCATTTTTGACTACTTTTTGAATTCTACCAAATTTTTATTTCTTGCATACAATAAGTAAGTAAAGTTTTCTGCTATAATTGCTTTTCTATAGATAGGTTGGTGTTCACAAGTTCATATTGTTCTGTTCATTGTTTATATATTAAAGTGACTGAAGCAGAATAAGGAAAAGAAACACACTACACTTCACATTAAATTCCATAATTTAATTCATTAAATATTTTTCTTCGTTTTATTTTTCTAGGTGACCAAATTAGATAGGGATCCTGCATCAGGTACTGCTTTGCAAGAAATCAGTTTCTGGCTAAATTTGGAACGTGCTCTTTACCGTATTCAGGAGAAGCGTGAAAGCCCTGAAGTTCTGTTAACTTTAGATATTTTGAAACATGGCAAACGGTTTCATGCTACTGTTAGCTTTGATACAGATACAGGTAAGAGTTATCCAGAAGGAGAATTTGGCAGGGGTGTGTGTGTGTGTGTGTGTGTGT